GACAGAAAATATCCAGAACTACTGGATGGATTGTTGTCAAATTTTATATGTATAATATGAATATCGAGTAGATGGTAAAAGAGTAACATACAATTTCGCCAATCGTCCCCAGCACAATAGGATCACGTCACCTCCAAAATTTATGTTAGTAAATTTTATTTAAATTTTATAATTATAGTTATAGTTTTTAGAAATACTTATACAGAGTGAGTTAAAAGGGGTTAGTACGTCGTATCGTTCCCCTGTAATTGGGCCTCAGTGCCTGTTGGGGGACGTAATTAATAAAATAAAAAAAATAAAAATAAAAATAAAAAAATAAAAAAGGTATTAATGAGGCAATTTATTGTAGTGATTAAATCAAGAACGACTCACTACATTCTCCCAAAAATTTGGGAGTAGTGTTGTTATTAGTATTACTATCTATCAAAACTGATATACGTGTCCTTGTAAAAATGTTCCTGACGTCATCACAAAATTTTGTACATAATGTTATGTTGAGCGGGTATTTAAAAATCAACAATTTATTTCTTAGTAACTCAAATTTACACGACTAATTACACAGCGATTATGTACAAAATAATTCCAGCGCAAGATTCACTGAATGAATAATCCCTTCTAGAAGTTCCGCAGTCGAGGTCTTTCTGGATTGTCCATCGCGACTTCCGCTTCCAGGAGTCATCATCGCCGTGCATACTAGAACCCATAGCGTACCGGGGCGCTATATGGGTTTATTTCGTAACAATAATTAAATCTTATAATTTTCCGAATTTTTCGTTTTTTCATTTTCTTTAATTTTTCAGTGTTTCCATTTTTCAATGATTCGGTTGCATAATTTTTCGTTTTTTCAACTTTATTTTTTCCAATTTTTCAATTTTTCGTTTCTTCAATGTTTCGGTGAAATTTTTCACTTTTGCAATTTTTGGTTCTTTTGCTCTTTCTTTTTTCGATTTTTGTTTCTCAGTTTTTAATTTTTTGATTTTTCAATTTTTCATTTCTTCAGTTCTTTAAGTTCTTGAATTTTATTTTTTTACTTCTCAATTTTACAATTTTTGGATTCTCATAATTTATAATTTTTCATTTTCTCGATTTCTAATCTTTAAATTTTTCAATTTTACAATTTTTTAATATAACAATTTTCCTTTTTTTTATTTCTTCAGTTCTTCAAGTTCTTGACTTTTATTTTTCAACTTCCCGATTTTACAATTTTTTGATTTTTCAATCTTTCATTCCTTCAATTTTTCAAATTCTTAATTTATAATTTTCCATTTTCTCGATTTTTAATTTTTCAAGTTTTCAATTTTACGATTTTTTGATATGATAATTTTTCTTTTTTCCTTATTCTTCGATTTCATAATTTTTTGATATCACATTCAAATCAAAATTAAATTTTTCGATTTTACGGTTTTCTAATTTTTCTTTTTTTGTCAGCTTTAGTTTCTCAATTTTTTAATTTCTCGACTTCCAAATTTTCCAATTTTTCGTTTCCTCAATATTTTAAGTTCCTGATTTTTGTCTTTCATTGTCCTTTTTATTTTTTCGATTTTATATCACAATTTTTCGTTTTTTCCTTTACCTTTTTCAAAGTTTCTTTACATTTTATAATTTCTCGTTCATTCAACTTTTCAAATCTTCAATCTTTCATTTTTCAATTTGTCAATTTACCAATTTTTAATTTTTTAAATTTTGCCATTTTTGGATTTTTCAATTATACGATTTTCGGATTTCCTTCATTTCCAATATTTCGATTTTACAATATTTCGTTTTTTTTTTGGTTGTGCACTTTTACGATCTTTAACTTTCTCAATTTTTATCATTCAAGTTTTCACTTCACTCTTTTTCGTTTTTTCATTTTTGATTTTTCTTGTTTACAGTTTTGCAAAAAACTAAAAAATCGGCAAAAATTGCGAAACCGAAAAATCTCAAAATAGAAAATCGAGAAAGTGCAAATCGAAGAATGAAGAAACGAACATTTATTTGAAACATTAGAAAACTAGAAATCAAGAAACATTGAAAAGAAGAAAAAACGCGAAAGCGAAAAATTGAAAAAGCCAAAAATTGTAAAATCGAAAAATTATAGAATCGTCAAAATTGCGATGTCGAAAAACTGTAATCATGAAAAATCGAAAAATTGAAAAATTATATTTCGAGAATTGAAAAATTAAAAATGGAAAAATTGAAAAATCCCAAAACTTAAAATTTTTAGATTGGAAAAAAGAAAAATCGTAAAATCAGAATATTGAAAAGGAAAAAAATTGAAAAAATAAACAAAATAAGAAAACGAAACAAATAATAATTGTAAATCGAAAAATTGTAAAATCTAAAAACTGAAAAATCCAAAAGTTGGAGGGCCGAAAAATTGAAAAATTTAAAAATGGAAACTCGAAGAGTTGTAAATTCTAAAATTCAAGAAAGAAAACAATAAACGATTGAAAGATTTTAAATAGAAAAAATTGGTCGAAAGTGGTTTCGACCGAACTTCCCTCGCTCCTGAAGTACAATGAAACATATTCAGCATTTTCGAGTTGAGTTTTTTCTTTACACAATTTTGGGATGACGTCATCAACATGTTTGCAAGGACACGTATATCAACTTGGATTGGTGCAGTGTAATACTAAAAATATAGGAAAATGGAGTGAGCCGTTCCTGATTTAATCAATAAAATAAATTGACTCATTCATTCATTAATTTTCTTGGGGCACCCTGTATAAGCAAATCCAAGAAATATGAATGGATTGATAAATCACAAGTATGGACTCATCATATTTTTGAACATTTTAGATAGGATTTATTCAGCAAAATTTTGAGCTGACGTCATCAATTCTTTGGAGGGGATAAGCAAAAAATGTATCATGCTTATCATAACTTTAAAACATTTGCAAGATTTCAAAGCATTCCAGATTCAAAATTAAATTGGAAAATGTTACATTTTTTTTTATTTGGAGTTGTTTTTCCGCCTCTTGAACGTGTTAACTTACATATTTTAAAAAAACATTGATGAAATTACAATAATTAAAATAATTAAAAATTCCAAAACTTCCACAGAGTCGTGTGATTTCTTGGGGAAAAAAGTGGTGTGATTTTTTACGGACGACTTTGTGGAAGTTTTGGGTTTTTTATTATTTTAATTATTGTAATTTCATCATTGTTTTTAATATCCATGTTACTGTTCATATCCTAGCTTGTAATAAACTGAAGATGACTTAGATATTCAATAAAGTCGAAACATGTTGTAATCAATCAGCTTTCTACTGAAAAACTTCACACGTTCAAGAGACGGAAAAACAACTCCAAATAAAGTACACTTGAACAAGAATGGATTTCCAAAAATTGCAAAATGCTGTTTTACTGTTTTGATTTTTTTTCCAAAAATCTGGACGTTTTGAGTAAAAACTCAACACGACGTCATAAACTACTTGGGTAAGACTATGTTATTTTATACAATTTATAACCCATTTACGATGTATAATTTTGAAGTGACGTCATCACATTATTGGTGGAGACGATTAGACAAATTTTGGTTAGCGTTTTACCATCTACATGATATTCCTAATATAAATACAAAATTTGACAACAATCGGTCCAATACTTTCGGAGATCTGTCTAATAAAAATCCGGGAGGGCAGACAGACGGTCAGACGGACAGAAAAGAAACGAAAAAACAAGGAAAAATGAAAAATTGCAAATCGAAAAACTGAAGAAACGAAAAATTGCAAATCGAAAATTTGAAGAAACGAAGGATTGGTGAATCGGAAAACTGGGAAATATAAAAATTGAAGAAGCAAACGAGGAAACAAAGAAAATTGAAAAACTGCAAACCGAAATATTAAAAAATTAAAAAATGAAAACTCAAATCGAAAAATTGCAAAAGCTAAAAATTCAAAAATTCAAATTGAAAAACTGAAAAATTTAAACTTGAAAAATCGAAAAATTGCAATCGAAGAATTCAAGAAAAAAAATTGAAAATTGTAAATCAAAAAAGTTACGGTTTTTACTTTATAGAGGTTATCAAAAAACAAAAATGACAAAAACTTTTTATAATTTTTCAAAAAAAAAACGGGATTTCTTGGGCTTCACGTCAGGAAAAAGGGAAGTGCTGTCATTTTTTTTTTTGTTTTATTACTAAAATATCTAAATAACAATCGCAATTAAAACATCCAAAATGCAGCCTATGCGACAGAATATTATATCGCAAATACTCGTATTTGACAAAAATCTCACGTCCAGACAACAGAGCTCTCAGGGTAAAGGTCTGCAGGGCAACAGAAATTAACTCATAAATGAAACATTAATACCATGTTTTGCACCGTATGTTACTGACAGCTTGAGTTCTGGGAAAGCTCCTTTACTAATTAGAGATGATAGTTGCGCAAAACCATCAATAATATTGTGTTAAAGTTTATCCAAACCAGTTAGCGAAAGAAAATTAATTTTTACTTGGAAAAACGTTTTAAAACCGAAAACTGAAAGCTTGCCAAAACAAGATTTTATACAAAAAACAGACAAAGTCGAATGTGGTAAAGCTTTTATTCTTACTTCAGAGTCCACTGGAGTACCATTTACTTAATTTACATGTGACATAATAGTGTTATTGTGATATATTTAAGCGTAAAGTTTACTAGGAACGTCGCATTATGTAATCACAGGCGTGCAATAATAATACGTGAGCTTACGTGTAACATACACAGAGAGTGGCTATAATGAGCTTTATTAGATTACAGAATCGTTAAATGCCAACTATATGTGCCACGACTTGCTCAAAATTTTAGATCCCTTATTTTAAAAAGGTGGCACACCAATTTGAACAAACATGAATATAGTATATATAGTATAGTGCATTCAATCAGTAAATATTTGAGCTAGCGTTTCCCGCTTAGATGAAATAACTCATAACAAAAAACGTAATAAAATGTAACCAAACATCAAGACATAGTTTTTTTTTCCTTACTCCACGTTTTTCAGAACGATACACAAAGTTTCATCAACATTTTTCATTTTTTCAGGGGCATGAGAGAAATCCTGCTTTGCTCGTGCCGCCGAAGGAGACAGCAGAGCAATCGAAACCATCTAAGTTTGCATGTAGGGATCCAGAGACACGCTTCCACAAGATCAACAGTCAAAGCCAATGCAACCACTGTGACAATAGTGAACAATGACCACAGTTCGGAATGTTCTCACGATGTATGAGGATGCGCCTCCTGTCTCTACTGTTCGAGATACAGTTAAAGGGGCAGATCACCAAAGTCTGTGTACATAAGAACTATTTTTGTATTTATGTTGTATTTCTGTATTGAAAGTCTGTAAATATGGCCATATTTAACAATAGTGCTGTCAGACCATATCTGTTGAAGGTACATTAACTGAAGCTTTAAATTTATACTAATGCAAATTTTTGCAATAAACGGACTTGCTGTGATGCATTCGATGCACAAATGGACTACGTTTAACGCCAAAGTTCGCCGGTGTGCGGTCATGAAATGTTGCTTGGTATTTGTAAATATTAACCTCATGTATTTTCCTACCTGTTAAAAGACTGTAAAAAATGTATTTTATAATAAAAGTAAAAGTTCACTTGTGTATTCTTATAGTCGTTTTGTATTTATTGTGTAAGTACATAAAATACGACTAATGAAACAAACTAATTTATTATTGAATCAATCCAATCGTTGTAGTAACTGATGGCTGTGAAAGTATCAGGCTTCCCTGTACCGCAAGGTTCGCCAAAACACACGACTCCTGCTAACTTATTTTCACAAATTAAAGGTCCTCCTGAATCTCCTACACACGTTGCATTTCCTTCACTAGTGGTGCAGATTAGACGTGGATAATATATTCCTTTCCATGCTTCATGGCATTTTTTCGGAGTTACAGGTTGCACCGCCGCTACTTTAAATATTTTCGATGGGTATCCTGTTGCTGTAGTAGCACCCCAGCCCATTACGTAGCACGGATTTTCGTAATCCGAGAAATTGGTTTGCATTCTAGCAGGAAATGAAGATTCATAACTCGTTTGTTTCTCTATTTGCAGTACAGCTATGTCATTTCTGAGCCACAACCTGTCGAAGTCTGGGTGCACATGTGTGGAGACTGGTTTGGTACTGGTCCCCCCATTGTTTAGGTACGCGCTGCCAATAACCACGGATCTTTCCTTTCCACTGGAAATTATTACTAGAGTTAGCAAGAACGACTTCATAAAAATATAGGTCCCTACCAACAATTTGATGGCGTTACCTCAAAATTTTATAAAATAACATTTTTGTACTTGTGGATACTTGTGGTCTATGAATCCGCCTTCATTGTATACCCTATACATCCAGAATTTCGCAAAGAAATTTAAGTTGTATATCGCCTTAGGGCATAACTTCAAGTTGTTTTTGCTATTGCGTACTAAATTTTTTCCACATAGCACCACCAAATTTCAAAATTTATACAAAAATGACTCATCACTGAATTTAAGAGAAAATTCTCTTTCAAGTTTACTTTATGTTGCCATTTATAGACCGGGAAAAAGCTTAGGAAGTCCTGAGGTATTCTCCGAAAGGAATAAAAAAAATATTTGAGGTTGAATGAATTTCTCCAACTATTCAAGGTAAGAATTTGAAAAAATGCATATCATACACTTTAAACCAACTTTAACGATTTTCTAATCGTTAGACTAGTTCTTTACTTATTCTTTATTGTGTGCATTTCTGTTTTTAATTAAGATAAAAACACTTACCTACTGAAGTCTATTCATAGATAAGTTACCAAGGTTAAATAAGTAAGTTAAATTGTAAATTTGTATTTTTTCACATCAAACTTTGATGTTCAAAAAGCAAATTAAACCACAAATAAAGACACGTGTCATTGTCATACGATTGTATGCTATTTTTTTTAATTTAATTCATCTATTCATTCCCGCCAACAATTTAATGACGTAATTAAAACTATTTGCGGGAATGAACAGAATATTTTGTTCAATTGAGGCTTATTGTAATTTTAGTCATCTCTTTTGAGACGATAAACTCACTCAAATCAAACAAATGTCTACGTAACATTCTTCCGAAGTATAAACATAAACATTTTAAGCTCAACGCATATTGCTGAGACCACTTTTCCCGTTCGTAGTGTGCTGTAAATATATTTTACAATGTTTGCACTTGTGCAGAGACGATTTATACGGATATGCCATTTGGCCCCCGAAGTTAAAGGACCCCTTCTGGCCTAAATGTAACGGAAAATAAAATGTATTTGTTTTTAGTGCGGTTATTACAAAAATACGATTTCGTCTGCGACTGACCGTTTGTTGACATATGATCTCGAGATTACGCAAAATGCAAAATTGGCCATTTCCGGGCGTTCCAGTAATTTATGACCTGAATTTTGATGGCATTATCGTTTCTCGTTTTTATTTTGCTTTTTTGATCGTTTAATAATTTTAATAATTACAAAAAAATAAATAAAATTTGCAAAATCACATTTTATATTTTTTCGAAAATGCTGGATGTGTTTCATTGTACTTCAGGATCAAGGAAAGTTCTGCCGAAACAACTTTCGACTATTTTTTTACCTACCTTGCTACACAGTGCGCAGCAGTAATGACGTACTCAGAATTAATGAGCGTACCACCACAAGTATGTCCATTATTTTCATCTCTTATAGACACTGAGTAAGGATACTCTTCTATGTTACCGTCGACGCCACCAACAATTCTGAACTTAACTTCGTCGTCGGGGTGAATACCAGGAAAAGCTGGAAGTGTATTGTGAGCAACCAACGAGTTTCAAATTTTTCTGCTTACCCAAGGAGTAGGTTACTACACAAGTGAAAAAGAACGCGAAAATACCTGTTGCGTTCATTTTTTCAGTAAATAGTATTCTAGGAAAAAGTGTTTTATATGGATAAGCAAAAAACAATTGCTGCTACTACGACCGATAGTGTTGTAGTGTTCCAGAAATTTACACAGTTGGCAACTATTCTGCAATGGTAAATTTAAAGTAATTCAAATATGGTGAATAAATAAATTCTAGCACCCTATAAAGATAGTGTATTGTTACGAAATACACCCATACACCGCCCCGGTACGACGGCTAAAAACGAAAAGGCTGGAAGCGGAAATCGCGATGGGCAACCCAGAAAAACCTCGAAGCGGCGTTCTCGATCCGTCGAGAGGAACGTACTAGTTTAAATGGAGGCCACCGTCGGGAACGATAATTTTTTTCACTCAGTCCAGTCCACGAGAGTACAGCCAAGTTGTCCGGATTTATTTTGTACATAATTGGTGTGTAATCACTAATCAGTCGTGTAATTTTGAGTTATGGAGAAATTAATTGTTGAGTTTTACCCACCCCGAGTTTAAATCACCGATCGTCGTAGCACTGGTGTCGGAAGTGAGATTTGAGATTAATAACTGGTTTTACGACAACTTCGGAGCAAATTGGACAAGAATTCTGGAGAATTTATACCTCTTGAGCCTAGAGCTCAAGCCGCTAAAGTCGACAAACGAGTAAAGCAGATGATGACTATGGTCGCACAATTGGACGAGAAAATGGGCACAAGAATGGAAAAAATGGACCAAAAAATGGATGCAAGAGATGTAAAATGAATGCAACAATAGAAGAAGCGAACGGAAAAGTGGAAATGATGGACGTGAAAATAAATAAGCAAATCAGCCTAACTGAAAAATTCCAGAAGGATGTGGAAGCAAACAAGATTTTTTTTTCGTTACACCGGTATCAGTTTGGTTTAACCTCAGATAGCTATGGATCACCGAAGCAAACAAGAATGAAATAGAAGAAATCACAGAAGAAATGAAGGACGTACAAACAAATTTGGAAAATGTGGAAAATATTGTAGGACGAAAAATGGTCTCAATGGAGCATCAGTTAAAAAGTGAGTTAGAAAAATCAGTGGAATGTATGGCAGATCGAATGGAGAGTAAATCAAGTAAGAGACAAAATTTTTGGAAGCGGTCTAAAAGTCGCACCCCTCTCTAGGAGGAAAAGAAGCGACGAGCGATGGTGACTCGTGACGTGCCCTCAGGCTGCCCAATGGGGGGGGGGGGGGCGAATCGCAATCGCTTTTCAACTCCAAAAACCCCCTATGGTTTATTCACCCACACAAAATACATCGCAAATGAAACACAAGCAAAATCTGAATTAAAGTAATGCGACGGTTATTCTATCTATCGCAAGCCTACCGCACAGCATACCTCCATGACGAACATGCCCTCCTAAGCAGGTCGTTATGTTCGAAAACTCGTGGTTGGATGTCACGGCTATGAACGAGCTGACAATGTCACGTCGTCCAGACCGTTCCCACTGAATTCTATCCAAAACCTGCATCCCTTGTGCAGATGGCGCGACACATCCGGCTATCCCCTACTAGGAGCCGCGCCCTCCGCTTCTGGTATGTGTTTCGGTGTTATTTAACCTCAATTCCATTTTAAATGTTCAATTTTTATGACTCTGATATTAATGACAACTGAACAAGTATTAAAGTTTCAAAAGAGCAATAAACAACAATTAAATTCGCCATACAATCTTGTGAAATTTTAAACAACAAATAATTCTTATGTTTGATTAAAATTGGACATCAGATAAAATATTCATTAACAAAGTCTTTACAAAACAAAACTTAGCAAAGATTTAGGAAAACAAAAGATCTGGTGTAAAATAAACTTGTGCAAAATAAAAATATTATGTGAGGTTTAAACTACAGAGAATGAAATTTACGTTCAAAGAAAATTACTGAGGTTAAGATTGTGATATAGAGAAATATGTATGAGGTGAAAAATTGCAAAGCTAACAAAAATTACATGGGATACATTATGTCAAATTATGTCATGATCCAAGTGATTGGTTACTTAAAAAAAACAATTTACTTCGAGAGTTTATAATACCGTGAACTGTTTATCCCAAACAAAACTCATAATAAATAAACACAAAAATATCCTGTCATCGTTGCGAGGAAAAAGCGTCTCGATGATGTAAATTTTAGCGTTGCGATAAAACGCCTCGAAGATGTAATCAATCTTTAGCGTTGCGAGGACATGCCTCGGTGGTGTAATGATGATAACGATGATAAAACCTCGATGATAAGGGAAGAAATTCTTTTAAACCCCCGCCAGTTCACAGTACGAATTATGTAGGTAATTTAACTGCCGTAAAAGAACTATTAGCAATCTTGTGTGAAGAATTAAGAAACTTATTCATCATTAGACAAACAAAATGTAACGGGTCCTGACTCAGTGAATTTCATGAAAACTCCTAGCAAATGTCTGTTAAATTTTGTGAGCACCACTTAACGATTAAAATCCGAATCTGATCGGTGAATTTACAAACAATAAAACAAATTCATACCACGTGTCCGCGTTGTTCGAAAGTCCGCACTTTTTCCGATTATAAGGCCGCAAGAATTAACTGCGCATATTAGATAAAACTGTGATGTTGTCGTTACGATTACGTGCTGGAAGTGGAGGCGGCGTACAATTCTTCAAGAACGTGCCACAAAGTTAGAGTTGCAGAATTAGAGACGGAAGAAAACGACAAGTTAGAAAAATTCTCAGAGCAAATAATAAATGTCCTAGCTCAAGGACGAGACAAAGGTACGCCTCCTAAGAAAGGCATGGCGTGTTATAGATGTGAGCGCCAGGGACATCTCAAACGCTATTGTCGTGCTCGATCACCAGCTCCAAGGAGAAGCACACAACACAAATCTCCTCGACGAAATGTGCAGGAAAACTAAAAACAGCTAGCAATTTGGGGAATGTGCTGGCTGGTAAGAATAAAGCCCCCAAGTCTCAATCCTACGTAGAAGACTCTTGAGAGCTAAAGATCTAAGGACTATTCATAAAACAATCAGATTGAACACCGTAACTAGAGAGTCGATGTCAATCATGGGTGAAGCAGAGGTAGAAATCTGCATTGGTCAGCTCAACATAAAACAACGGGCTCTCGTGGCTAACATTGAAGACGAGTTTATTTTGAGAATGGATTTGATTACTTACCTGCCATGGACTGACGGTCGATCCAGTGGAGAAAGTCCTACATCTTGGCAATGAAGAGTTTATCCTGAATCAGCGCAGTACTGAATCCAAGACTGATCGCGTGCCAGAATGTGAAAGTCAGAGGAAATGTAGAAACGATTGTTCCAGTTAGAACAGAAATCAAACCCTGATTTACCCTCGGCATTATTCAACCACCGTACACCCCCAAGAAGAACCTCATGATTGTGAGTGCCTTAGTTAATACCGATTGTGACATACCTGTGTAACGAAGCGAATTTTCGCGGGCCGGGAACCGTGACGCGTACCGCGAGAGCCGCGGCGAAAGAGGATTCTTGCCTGAAGTCTTCGGCAGAGAAGGAGTGTTGTCTCTGTTGTGGCTGGGTTTTTATTTCTGGAAATGAGAAGTGTACAGTTAGACCCTCCAACCACCGTAAGTACCTTTTTGGGTCGTCTGTCCGTTTAAGTACCCGTTTTTGGAATCGCCGCCCCCGAGCGAAAAACCGTACCACCGTCACCGGGTTTTTTTTGTCGTCACCGTCACAAATCGAAACCGTCGTGCACGCGTCGTTACCGTCACCGCGCTCCCCTCCCGGGTCGCCGTACCGTCTTCGCGCGATTTCCAGGTTCAAGGTCTCCGCCCCCAAATCCAGGAGGAGCCCGTCCTGAAGGAAGTCGCAGCCCAGGAGGAACGACCGTGTCGGACGTGTTTATATTTTTCTTGTAAAACCGTTTTGTAATTTTATTTAAGATTAGCCGTAAGTTTTATTATCTTAGCCGTGTAGCTGGTCGCAGGGCATAAACCCGATTTATTCCTTGCCGTTTTATTTTATTCTCTCGTTTTTGCGGGCGCTCACCACCTGTTATCTATGTCTCCGGCTTTGGAGCAACCCCGGCGGTTCCTCCCCCGGAGAAGGAGCTGGCGCTCGAGCGCCAATTCCGGCGGCGTGAAGGTCGCCGCATAAGTTTAGGTCGACCAGAGGTGTTTGTTATATCAGCGACACTAGTCGGCCCAAAGATTGGCACCCAAGTACGCAGCCACCACACGTCGTCACTGTCCGTCACACCTGAATTTCGTCGCACCTGTACGCATCGCAAATGTTTTCCCCTGTAAACCAGTCACAAAGATATTTCATCACAACGAAGATCTTTCTGATAGCAATACATAAGAGAAAAGTGGCAAGGTGATTTCTACAGAAACGCAACGGTATGTTTGCATCTGGACAATCCTCTGGGCGCACAAACATAGTGCAGCATCAGATAAACACTGGAAACGCGCAACCGATCCGTCAAGCCCCGCGAAGTCTACCTTTGGCAAACCAAGAGGAAGCCGAGGAACTGGTACGAAGAATGTTGGACGAAGGCGTTATAGAGAAGTCAAATAGTCCATGGTCTTCGCCTGTAGTGTTAGTCACCAAAAAAGACGGATCGACGCGACTCTGCGTAGACTACGGGAAGCTAAACGATGTAACCAAGAAGGACAGTTACCTGCTTCCACGAATTGGTGACACGCTCACAACATCATCAGGATCTGCTTGGTTCTCCACGTTGGACCTTAAAAGCTGCTATTGGCAAGTCGGTATTCATCCACAAGGTAAGGAAAAGACCGCTTTTTCTACCGGGAGCGGCTTGCATCAATCTGCAGTGATGCCTTTTGGACTGTGTAATGCTCCGGATACTTTTGAGAGACTAATGGAGATGGTATTATGAAAGCTAACATGGAAAACGTGTTTGGTTTATTAAGACGACATCATGGTAATGGGAAAGATATGCCTCCTCTTCCAAGAAGTAGAATTTCTGAGGTACTGTTCCGGTAAACGGGATCAAGAGTACCGGAACGAAGAGATTGGCCGCGAACAAGACATAAGCACGAAGCCCGGAGTTTCTTGGGATTCTGCACCTACTACAGAAGGTTTGTCAACAGGTTTGCTGATATTGTTGCTCCTCTGCACAGGCTGACGGATTTGAAGTCTCAGTTTAATTGAACTGCTGAATGTATGCTCTAGTCCTACTTTGTCCTATCCTCAGTCATCGGGGACCTTTATTTTTGACACAGACGCGAGCAACATCGGAATAGGTGCTGTGTTGTCACAAGTGCAGGACAAGGAAGAAAAAGTCATCGAGTACTTCAGCATCGTACTTTCGATACTCGAGAAGACCTATAGTGCCTACGAGGAAGGAGTCGCTGGCGATTATCAGGACTGTGGAACACTTCCATAAGTATCTCTATGGACGCGAATTTCTGATTAGAACCGATCACGCAGCCCTCACATGGCTCCTTCAGATGAAGAATCCCGAAGGATAAGTGGCTAGATGGTTTGAACGACTCCAACAGTATCACTTCAAAATTCGACACAGGGCTGGAAAGCTCCACAATAATGCAGACTCTTTGTCGAGAAAACCGTGTAAGAACTCCATACACTGCGACAAGATCGACGAGTGTAAAACGTCATTCAACTGTGGGAGAACAGCAGTCATAGAAAAAGAAGAATGGACTACAGCCCAGCTTAGAAAAGACCAAGAGAAGGACGTGGATATCGGGCCATGCTCAAATGGAAAGAAGATGGGGTAGAACGACCAGCTTGCTCGGAAATATCACACGAGTCACCCTCTTTCAAAGCGTTATGAGCTCAGTGGACCTCCCTGCGTGTCGAGAACGGATTGTTTAAGCGAGCTTGGGAGAGTCCAAATGGGAAACATACATGCAGTTGATGGTTCCGGCCACCAGAATCAAGGAAGTACTTCTAGAGATACACATTGGGGGTTCTGGTGCTCATTTTGGAATCTATAAGACGCTGTCTAAAATTAAGGAGAGATGTTACTCGGTGCGTTGCCGAGACGACGCGACATCGAGAGCTGGTGCAAGAAATGTACGACCTGCGCGGCGGTCGAGGGACCGAGAACTAGAGCGAGAGGGCCGATGCAACTATACAACGTCGGTTCGGCTTTCGAAATAATTGCAATGAACATACTTAGCAGGTACTTTTCCGGTGACCGAAGACGACAATAAGTATATAATGGTCGTCAGCGATTACTTCAGCTATTTGCCTGAAGCTTATGCCATACGGAACTAAGAAGCCCCGACGGTTGCAACAACGCTGATTGACAAATAGATTAGCAGGTTTCGAGTTCCAGTGGAACCTGTTCCAAATGGTGACTGTCCTAGGGATACGGAAGACACGGACTACGCCGTTGCACCCAGTCAGATGGGATGGTAGAACGGTTCAATCGTACCATGGAAGAACGTCTTTCAAAGGTGGTGGCCGAACATCAGAAAGATTGGGAAACAACATATCGTTCAGCTGTCCATAACACGACGGGTCAGATACTGGCACGGATAGTTTTCGGAAGAAAACTTCGTCTACCTTGTGACATCTTGTTCGGTTCTCCGAATGAAGAACCAAAAGAGGTCATAGATTATGTGGATGACTTGAAGGAGATGCTGCTGCGCGTTCACAAAACGGTGCGCCACAAGATCCGGATGGTGAGTGACAGAATGAAAACAAGCTACGACCTTAAGGGTACCTCAGCAGAATTCCAGTCACAGAATTTGGTAATGCTTTATAATCCCCGAAAAAGGAAAGGTCGTTGCCCGATGTTGTCACCAGAATGGGAAGGTCCAGGCCGAAGGCGAAAATGAAGATCGTTCATTTAGACCGCCTCATGAAGTACAACAATGACACCGTTGACGTTTCTGATCGGGACGATCAGAACTAAGGAGGGGGTAGTGTTACGAAAGAAAGCCATACGCCGCTCCGATACGGCGCCTATGGGTTTTAGTATGTACGGCAATGATGACTCATGGGCCGGGCGGCGTTCGCAAACGAAAAGCCTGGAAGCGGAAGTCGCGATGGGCAACCCAGAAAAACCTCGAAGGGGCGTTCTCGATCCATCGAGAGGAACGTACTAGTTTAAATAAAGTATTTATTTACATGCAAAGCATTAAATTAATTATAATAATTGTATCACCAGTGGCATTTTAAAATACTTAGTACTTAAGCATTTAAATTAGAAAATAAAAAAAGAAACAAAGTTTGAATGTACCTTTAGCATAGAACATATTATTATTATTATTACGAGCTGTGTATCGGAGACGACTTATTGGACATGGCTTGAAATGTCGTGATGAGATAACCTCTAGCCCGTCTGTCTGATAAAGTTGGAATTTTCATCATTGCGAGCCTTTCATGGTATTGAGGCTGCACTCTATCAAACGGTATTCTTGTAGCCCTACGTTGAACAAATTCAAGCAAAATGATGTCTTTTTGTAAAATATGCCACCATACACTGTTTGCAAATTCTAGAATGGGTCTTATAAATGTCTTATAGAATTTGGCAAAGATAATAGGGCTACATTTTTGGAATACCCGTCTCAGAAGAAACAGTGTCGAATTGGCTTTTTTACTGACATGTGCGATGTGCTGAGACCAAGACAAGTCCCAAGTTACAAGGACACCAAGATCACAACAATAGTCAGAAGAGACTAATCGTTGTCCGTCCATGTAATACGGCATTCTGGGATTCTTGTTTCCAATGTAAATGACATTACATTTATCGAAATTAAGTGGGAGAACCCAGTCACTAGACCATTTTTGAATACCTATAAGATCTTGTTTAAGAGTTTGATTTTGTGAGCTTAAATTGTACAATTTGGTATCATCTACTCTTAAGATCGGCAGTATAAGCGATAAAAAGTAACGGTCCCAGTACCGAATCTTGGGGGACTCCACTCATAACTTAAAAAGTACGGCTATAAGCATCTCGCACTTTAACTCGAAATGTTCTCTCAGAAAGAAAAGAACCAATCCATTTTAACAGGTTTCCTCTTAAGCCAAGATGTTGAAGCTTATGCAGCAACCGACGCTTAGGAACGTGATCGAAAGGCTTGGAAAAATCTGGGTACATGACATCAGTTGGGCTGCCTACATCTATCTCTTTCGTCCAATCCGATAGGCAGCAGAGTAGATTTGATTGGATATATTTACCAGGAAGAAAGCCGTGCTGCTGGGAGGGTATTATCTGATGATCAAACAAAAATTTGATGACACGGTCGTAAATACTGGAGTCCATGACTTTGACAATCAGGGACGTAAGGCTTATAGGTCGATAGTTGGTGACATCAAATTTTTCACCTTTTTTAAAGATTGGTCGCACAATTGCTATTCTCCAGTCGGCAGGTAGAGAGCTAGAATTAAAAGACTGGCTCATCAGAATTCTGAGGGGATACGAAAGAATAGAAGAACACGTCGTCAGAAGTTTAGCTGTGATTAAATCAGAGCCAGGTGACTTGGACACCTTCAATTTGTCAATTTTTTTACGGACAGAAAAAAGAACATCGTCGATAACATTTACATTAGGCACTCCAAGGACATTAGGCATATTGTCATTGGGCGGTTCTTGTACGAAAATTTTAGAAAAAAAAATGACAAATAGTGTCATCTTTTATTTGTAAATTAATTCCAACTGCGCCGGGCAATTGAGTTCGAATGTATTTATACAACCGCTTGGTGCTTTTACTATCAGCTATAGACTTCTCGTAGGTTATTCTGGCTTCTGTAATTATAGTTGACAACCGATTTGAGAAAGACCTGTGACTCTTATAATCAGCCTCAAGACCTGTTCTTCTGAATGCACGGCACAGAGCTCTTTTTCTTTTAATTAATTTTAGGATGGAATTGTTGATCCAAGGTTTTTTAGAAGAACGTTTGACGAAAGAGGTGGTTGTGTGTTTTTCTACCTGAACATTAAGAATATGTTTAAAGGCACTCCAGATATTAGAGACTGAAGAATCACTCAACAAGTTATTCCAGTCGACTTCAGTTAAACACCTGCATATAGCTTTATAATCTGTAATTGATCTCTTAAATGTGTCAATCCTCTTTTTAGAAGGTATAGAGCAAATCCACCGTTAATATCACGTGGTCTGAGATGCCAATAGGAGGGAGATAATCTAAATTAGCTAGTGACGTGTTGTCAGAAGATAAAATGAGGTCGAGGGTGGATGGACTTTGACCAGTTCGGTATCTAATATCCCCGTACGAATTCATCGTTGTCTTTGTTAAGCACACTATAAAGAAAAGTAACGTATGTGGCAGTATACCCGGCAAGATTTTTCGGCACGCCGTATCCACAAATGCATAATGCTCTATGTTTCGACTTAGTATCCGCTTACGGTTTCATCGTTCTCTTTGTCTACTACACTGTTAAAGGAGCACAACGTATGTTGCGCCAGGTCCGGCGAGATTCTACTTGGCCATTTCCAGAAACGCGAATTTAGTTTTTAAAACGCTTAATATTTAAGATACCTGACAAAATTACAAAACAATAACGGCTTCGGTGTTCTTCAGTGCTTACTATTTTTTTATAATACTTGTTTATTTAATAAATTTTAAAATAAAGGTAAAAATTCACTTGTGTGTTCTTATAGTCGTTTTATATTTATTGTGTAACTACATCAATAAATTCAACTAATGAAACAAACTAATTTATTATTGAATCAATCCAATCGTTGTAGTAACTGACGGCTGTGAAAGTGTCAGGTATTCCCGTACCGCAAGGTTTGCCAAAGCACACGACTCCTGTTAACTTATCTTCGCAGATTAAAGGTCCTCCTGAATCTCCGCGACACGTCGCGTTTCCTTTACTAGTGGTGCAGATTAGACGTGGATAATACGCACTTTTCCATGCTTCTTGGCACTTTTTCGGTTTCACAGGTTGCACCTCCGCTATTTTAAATATATTTGATGGTTCTCCTCTTGCTTGAGTCCAACCCCAGCCCATTATGTAGCACGGATTTTCGTAATCCGAGAAATTGGTTTGCAGTCTAGCAGGAAATGAAGATTTATAACTCGTTTCTTTCTTTATTTGCAGTACAGCTATATCATTTCTGAGCCACTTCTTGTCGAAGTCTGGGTGTACATGTGTGGAAATTGGTTTGGTACGGGTTCCACCTTGATCTAGATAGGCGCTGCCAATAACCACAGATATTTCCTCATCACTGGAAATTATTACTAGAGTTAGCAAGAACAAGTTCATAAAAATATTGATCCCTACCAACAATTTGATAACATTACCTTATCTTAATATATATAAATCTCGTGTCACAATGTTTGTCCTCAATGGACTCCTAAACCACTTAACAGATTATAATAAAATTCGCACACCATGTGCAGTTCGATCCAACTTGAGAGATAGGATAGTTTAAATCTCAAATTATAGTCGCAATTTTAATTTATTGCTAATTATTTGTCTGTTATTATTTGACAGTCACAATTATCTGTTAACTCCAAATGATTCTAACAGATGTCGATACCTTTCGACTGGGTTGAGTAAGTAATCAATAGATGGCGCTGCTATGGTAAATCTACGAACGTGTCATATAAGCTACATTTTAACAGCATAATTACCACGTGTTGTTGACGCTATACAATTAATTAAATTTATTTTGTAGTGAACGTGTCTGTTATTATTTGACAGTCACAATTATCTGTTAACTCCAAATGATTCTAACAGATGACGATACCTTTCGACTGGGTTGAGTAAGTAATCAATAGATGGCGCTGCTATGGTAAATCTACGAACGTGTCATATAAGCTACATTTTAACAGCATAATTACCACGTGTTGTTGACGCTATAAAATTAATTAAATTTATTTTGTAGTGAACGAAATATTGTGTTCAACGTACTTCCCCTTCAAATCTCAATCCAGTGAATTTGTATACCAACATCAACATTTTCGTCTTTGTTCGTAAATAATTTCATTGTACTAAAGGGTTATAGTAGTAGAAAGTCAAATAAGGAGATCACCATTTTGTTTTACAAATACCATCTGTGTGAAAAAGCATAGTGGACTCCGTGACTGATGTTCTCTTATTGTTCCTCTTAGATTGTTTACTATAATGTAATATAACAAAAACTTTAGCCACAGCAACGCGTGGCCGGGTCAGCTAGTAACTTTATATGGTAAATGCTATTCGCATTTTATAGAATATACTTTTGTACTTGTGGCTACTTGTGGTGTATGAATCAGCCTTCATTACCCCGGATATCCAGATTTTCGCAAAACAATTTAAGTTTTATACCGTTTCAAGGCATAACTTCAAGTTGATTTTAGGCTATTGCAAACTAAATTTTTCACATAGTACCACATAAATTCAAAAATTATACAAAAATGACACGTCACTGAATTTAAGAGAGAATACTCTTTCTAGTTTACTTTATATCGGAAAAAGCTTAGGAAGTCCTAAGATATTCTCCAAAAGGAATATAAAAATTTTGACGTTGAATAAATTTCAGCCGCTTCTCTAGGTAAGAATTTGAAAAAAGTGCATATTATACACTTTAAACCAAGTTTAACGATTTTCTAATCACTAGGCTAGTTCTTTATTCATGCATTATTCTGTGTATTACTGTTTCTAATTAAGATTTAAAAACACTTGCTTATGAAGTCTATTCATAGACCTACCAAAGTTAAATAAAGTAAGTTAAATTGTAAATTTTTATTTTTTTACATTAACCTTTGACGTTCAAAAAGCAAATTACACCACAAATAAAAAAGCATGTCATTCTCATACCAGGTACTCTGCTCTACTACTGGTATATTTATCTACCATCAAAAAATAAAATTTGATTTTTATTTTATTTTAATTTATCTGTTCATTCCGATGTATAAACATAAACATTTTAAGCAATACGCTCTTTTCCCGTTGGTAATGAGCTGTAATAGTAATTTACGCAACTAGTTCGGGATAGCCTGCTTCCCGCATGAACGCTTGTTTGAGGCACGACCGAAGGGAGTGCCGCATTTGCGTGAATGCGGGAAGCAGGCTCACGAACGTGTTGTGTACAATATTTTTTGCGACGAATAAACCTTTAAACTGAAGAGATTAACTGTGAGTTATTTATAAACAACGCCATTGACAGCGCCGTCAACACGTCACAATGTTGACACTACCCGAGTATTTTAAGGTTACCATGGCAACGGGAAGTTAAATGCACGTGTGCGGGAAATTCGACCTCCCGCACTCTGGTGAATGCGCGAAAGCTATCAAAAAAGGTCATGAGTGCAAAAAATATTTTTTACAGTGTCCGTACTTGTGCAGAGAATTTTATTATTTTTCGAAAATGTTGGATATGTTTTATCCACTAATTTTTTTACCTACCTTGCTACACAGTGTGCAGCAGTAATGACGTACTCATTAGTAATGAGCGTGCCACCACAAACATGTTTATTGTTTTCGTCTCTTAAAGACACTGCGTAAGGAAACTTTTCTTTCTTACCCTCGATGCCACCAACAATTCTGAAGTTAACTTCGTCGTTTCCAGGAAACGCTGGAAATATATTGTAAGCAACGAACGAGTTTCAATTTTTTTCTCCTTACCTAAGGAGTAGGTCACTACACAAGTGAAAAAGAAAGCGAAAATACCTGTTGCGTGCATTTTTACTGGAAATATTCTAGGAAAAAGTGAGCTATGTGGATAAGCAACAAACAATTGCTGATAGTACGGTCAACAGCGTTGTAGTGCTTCTGAAATTTACACAGTTGGTGTCTATTTTGCACTGATAAATTTAAAATAATTCAAATATGGTAAATAAGTAAGTTCTAGCACCTCATTAAGATAATGTATCTTTGATGTCTATTATAATCACATCTCTATTAACATATAACCAACTAAACTAAAACTTGTGGTGAAATACAATTACAAATGTTACTTTATTTATTTGATAAGTATTTATTTACATGCAACATATTAAATTAATTATAATAATTGTATCTTCACACTTATTTTATTGAAAACCTTGTTTAAAGTGCCCGCGATTTTTGCTTTTCAATTGTCATTTTTTTGACATTTATCAATGTGGTTTAATCACCGACATTCTAAATCCTTTCCAAAGATAACTCGATTACAAATTATGTTCTTAATAGAAAGGCACGCTTCCACAAAATCAACAGTCAATGCCAATGCAACCACTGTGACAATAATGAACAATGACCACAGTATGGAATGTTCTCACGATGTATGAGGAAGCGCTTCATGTCTCTACTGTTCGAGATACAGTTAAAGGACCAGATCACCAAAGTCTGTGTAGATAGGAACTATTTTTGTATTTATGTTGTATTTCTGTAAAAGTCTGTAAATATGGCCATATTTAACAATAGTGCTGTCAGACCATATTTGTTGAAGGTACATTAACTGAAGCTTTAAATTTATACTAATGCAAATTTTTGCAATAAATGGACTTGCTGTGATGCGTTCGATGCACAAATGGACTGTACGTTTAACGCCAAAGTTCGCCGGTCTGGGGTCATAAAATGTTGCTTGGTATTTGTAAATATTAACCTCACGTATTTTCCTACCTGTTAAAAGACTTTAAATAGTATATTATTGGCCAAGGTTGCAAAGCCAAGCATTCTAGACCGAGCGCAAATTAGAACCCGAGAGGCGCAGCGTCGAGGGCTCTGAAGCGCCAGGTCTAGAAGTGGCTTTGCAACCGTGGTTAATATACTATTTTTTTCACTAGTAGAAACCATAAGACAATAAATTGAAAAAATAAACGTTCGATTTTTTGACGTACCATGATTTTGTTTTGATTTCTAATTAAACTTGACCTAAATCTTCAACACAAAGAAAACCGTTTACGCTGAATTAATCATTTTATCTTCTACCGTCTACCACCTACCATGCGTATACTCAAGTAATGTTAGTAGCACACATTTATTAATTTTTTAAGAAATAATCACATCAAGTATTGCGTACATAACCTCAATCTTCTTTTTGAACCCGTAGTCGCAAAAGTTGAATTTGCTACCTCTAAATGAGCCGACATTTGCACGCTTCATGGCTGCTAGTTCACTTGTATGTTTTTATAGTCGATTTATATTTATTGTGTAACCACATCAAACTGAACTAATGAAACAAACTAATTTATTACTGAATCAATCCAAACGTTGTAGTAGCTGACGGCTGTGAAAGTGTCAGGTCTCCCTGTACCGCAAGGTTTGCCAAAACACACGACTCCTGTTAACTTATTTTCACAGATTAAAGGTCCTCCTGAATCCCCGCGACACGTCGCGTTTCCTTTGTTACTGGTGCAGATTAGACGTGGATAATACGCTTTTCTCCATTCTTCTTCGCATTTTTTCGGTTTTACAGGTTGCACCGCCGCTGTTTTAAATATATTCGATGATTGTCCTTTTGCTTTAGTCCAACCCCAGCCCATTACGTAGCACGGATTTTCGTAATCGGAGAAATTGGTTTGCATTCTATCAGGAAACGAAGATTTATAATTCGTTTGTTTCTCTATTTGCAGTACAGCTATGTCATTTCTGAGCCCCTTCTTGTCGAAGTCTGGGTGCGCATGTGTAGACGGGTTCCACCTTTGTCCAGGTAGGCGCTGCCAATAACCACGGATTTTATATGTCCACTGGAAATTATTACTGGAGTTAGCAAGAACGAGTTCATAAAAATATTGATCCCTACCAATTTGATGACATTACCTTCAAAGTTTATATGGTAATTTTATAAAATAACATACTTTTGTACTTGTGGGTACTTGTGGTATATGAATCCGCCTTCATTATTTACCCTAGAATTTTCGCAAAAAATTTAAGTTGTATATCGGCTCTAGGGCATAAATTCAAGTTGTTTTTAGACTATTGCAAATTAAATTTTTCCACCTAGCAACATCAAAATTAAAAAATTATACCAATATGACACATCAGTGAATTTAAGAGAAAATAGTCTTTTTAGTTTATTTTATATCGCCATAGACAAAAAAAAAACTTAGGAAGTCCTGAGATATTCTCCAAAAAAAAAATCACGTTGAATAAATTTCAGCCACTACTCAAGGTAAGAATTTGAAAAAAATGCACATTATACACTTTAAACCAAGTTTAACGATCTTGTAATCATTAGACTAGTTCTTTACGTATGTTTTATTCTGGGAATTTCTGTTTCTACTAATTAAGATAAAAACACTTACGTACTGAAGATAAGTTACCAATGTTAAATAAGTAAATTAAATTGTAAATTTTTATTTTTTCACATTAACCTTGATGTTCAAAAAGCAAATTAAACCACAAATAAAGAAGCATGTCCTTCTCATATGTCACCTAAAATTCGATTTTCAAACAGATATAACAGAAATTTAGTATAAAATTATGTGCTATTCTTTTTTATTTTAATTCATCTGTTCATTCCTGCCAAAAATTTAATGGTGTAATTGAAATTATTTGCGGGGATGAACAGAATTTTGTGTTCAATTGAGGCTTATTCATAATTTTAGTCATCTCTTTTGAGGCGATAAACTCATTCAAATTTAACAAATGTCTATGTGACATTCTTCCGATGTATAAACATAAACATTTTAAGCACTACGCATATTGCTGATACCATTTCTCCCGTTACTAATGTGCTGCAAATATATTTTGCAATGTCCATACTTGTGCAGAGAATGTTTATGCGGATATGCTTGTGATGCTGGAGCATCAGGCCCCCGAATGTAACAGAAAATTAAATTTATTTATTTTTAATTTGGTTAATAGAAAAATACGATTTCGTCTGCGACTGACCGTTTATTGCCATATATGATCTAGAGATTGTATACTTTTGAAATTACTAAAAAAATAAAATTCGCAAAATTAAATTTTACAATTTTTCGAAAACGCCGGATGTGTTTCATTGTACTTCAGGGGCGAGGAAAGTTCTGTCGAAACAAATTTCGACTTTTTACTTCCCGAGCGTAAGCAAAGGAAGTATTGTAATGGAGTCCGTCGGCCGACTCTCTACTTTTACGTTTTCTCGATCTTTCATGACCCCTAGAATACGAAGAAATAGGTCTCCCATTTCCGTCTGTCTGTCCGTCTGTCTATCCGTCTGTCTGTCCGTCTGTCCGTCTGTCCGTCTGTCCGTCTGTCGGTCTGTCCGTCTGTCTGCCGTCACGGATTTTTATTAGACAGATAATCTCCGAAAGTACTGGACCGATTGTTGTGAAATTTTGTACTTATATTAGGAATATCATGTAGATGGTAAAACGCTAACCAAAATTTGTCTAATCATCCCCACCACTAATGCGATGACGTCACTTCAAAATTGTACATAGTAAATGGGTCTTAAATTGTATAAAATAACATAGTCCTACACATGTAGTTTACGACTCTGAATTCAGTTTTTACCCGAAACGTCCAGATTTTTGGAAAAAAAATCAAAATTATAAAACAACATTTTGCAATTTAATTTTGAATCTGCTAACCCGAATGTTTTGAAATGTTGCAGATGTTTTAAGGCTATAAAGAGCATCATAAATCTTTAGTCAAAATATATTTGGTTATCCCCTCCAAAAACTTGATGACGTCAGCTCAAAAGTTTGTCGAATAAATCCTATCTAAAATGCACAAAATATGGTGAGTCTCTTCTTGTAATTTATCATTCCATTCAAATTTTTTCGATTTGCATATACAGGGTGACTGAAAAAAATTAATGAATGCGTCAATTTATTTTATTGATTTAATCAGGAATTACAGAACCGAATGCTTTGAAATCTTGGAGATGTTTTAAAGTGATCATAAGCATGGTAAATTTTTTATCAAAATGTGTTTGCTCTTCCCCCCTAAAAAATTGATGACGTCACTCCAAAATTTTGCTGAATAAATCCTATCTAAAATGTACAAAATATGATGAGTCTGTACTTGTGATTTATCATTCCAATCATATTTTTTGGATTTGCATATACAGGGTGACTCAAAAAAATTAATGAATGCATGAATTTAATTTATTGGTTTAATCAGGATTTACAGAATCGAATGCTTTGAAATCTTGGAGATGTTTTAAAGTTATTATAAGCATGGTAAATTTTTTATCAAAATGTATTTGTTTATCCCTCCTAAAAAAGTTGATGACGTCACCCTTAAATTTTGCTGAATAAATCCTATCTAAAATGCAAAAAATATGATGAGTTTGTACTTGTGATTTATCATTCCATTCATATTTTTTAGATTTTCTTAAGAGGTGGCTCAAAAAAATTAATGAAGTCAATTTATTTTATTGATTAAATTAAAGGCAACACTTATTATTAGTATTACATTGGACCAACCCAATTTGGTAGACACAAAATTTTTTAAAGTAAAAACTGTGTTGAAACATAAGGGTAGCACCCTTATTTACATCGACTTTAACATTACAGACGTGCATTTGTTTTGTGCGCTATCTAGGTTCCGCGAATGTGGAATAGACATGTTTATAATCAACCAATTGTGAATTCCACCGTCAAAAATTAAAATAAAACCCAATGTTTTATATAATACGCGGAAGTCGAAGCAATAAAACCGATGGTCGTTTTGTTTACAGTTTCTCTGTTTGACTCTCACATATGCTGTTACGCTTGTCATCTTAAATTAAGAATGCTTATACATAAACAATTTTCAGTTGCCTCTCACCGGCGTCGTATACGTGAGTAAATTGTTTCGTTATTTTATTGATTATAACAAATCAATATTCAAAACTACCCAATTCATTTTCCCGAAAATTTGGGAA